AACTTTTTCTACTTATCAATCATCTCGAGAGTTACTTTTCTGTTAAAAATCTTGAATACGACTTAAATCCCTTTAAGTACCTCTACGTGACATATCTGCACGAACGTATTTAACAAGTTTATTTCCGTGTTCATTTTCGATTTGCCAGACCCTGGACAGTTTGACTCCAAAAGAGTGGAATTATGCGTAGATTACCGAATAACTGCGATGTGGATCTATGCAGGTTACCAAAAAATTGCAGCAGTGCGCGTTCTTTTTGTGAAATCAATTATTGTTATTGTTATTATTATTATAGATATTTGTATTGTAATCATCATCATCATCATCATCATCATCATCATCATCATCATCATCATCATCATCATCATCATCATCATCATCATCATTATTATTATTATTATTATTATTATTATTATTATTTTTATTATTACGTTTTTTTGGGTTTTTTTGGTATTTTTGTTTTTGTAAAGTGTTTTACGGCGCTCGCGACTGCATAAGGTCATATGAGCGCGCGGGACACACCTAATATTTTCAGTTGGTAGTGAATTTTGAATTTTGCCCGGGTGGCAGCCGAAGCCTACTCTTATCAATTTTAGACCACCAAGGGATCTTTAACGTGCGCAACTTACACACGGGCCCTCCGAGATTTTTAGCCCTTGTCCGAGAAGGTTAGGTGTAGATCTTTCCTACCAGAAGATCAGGGGTGTGGCAGAAAGACAGCAGTAAGGAGGAGCCAAGGAGTAGCAGTAGAAAGGTTGTAGAAAGAGTCAGGAGCCCAGAGGAGGGGGCAAAGGAGGTGAGGGGTTGGGGGCAGAAAGTGGAAATGAAAGCAGGCAACAGAACATTGCTGTTTTTATTTTTGTGATCGTCATTATTATCGTATTATATAATGGTTATTAGTACCAGTGTTGTAGTTGTTGTTATAATAATAATAATAATAATAATAATAATAATAATAATAATAATAATAATAATAATAATAATAATCATCATCATCATCATCATCATCATCATCATCACCATTATTATTATTATGATACTAAATCCATATGTTGTCGATCCCTGGAATTGGCAGTTTTGTATTTGGAAGATAATATGTATTTTTTAAAAACCCTGTTATTTTTGACTAAACAACTTATCTGTTATAATAGGGTCTGGTGGATATCTCTGCACCATAGAAACGACTTACGTGTGTTTAGTAGGGCGCGTTTTTCATCAAAGAAGAGTCAAAAATGAAAGGTGGGTGATCCGGCATTTACGTTCCTTTTCAGATATCCGAGAAAAAAAAAATCACGTGACGCTGAATATCACGATTGTTGTTTGGTAAACTTCCCCCGAAATACTCGCGTCTGTACGGATGGACCAGACCTAGGTAGCCATCTGTGCTTTTGGCAGTTCTCTTATAAAGAGTTGTATGTGATACTTCGCCCGACTTGTCAATGCCCTGTTTTTTTTACCCGTTCTGTCCGTGAACGTTGGTGTCGAAAACGGCAGCTTCACAGATTGCAGGCCAGCCGGCTCTACCTTAACCTAGAGCCCTGTTTCTTTTGGAGTTCTACTACCGTTAAAAAAAACCCCCTACAAAACGAATCCCAAGTACTACGGGTTACTCTGCTGAAAGAAGAGTCGTCGATACCTGTGATTGCTCCTACCACAGAAAAGAATAATAATGTGAGAATGTGAGAACCATGTCCTTTTTAAAAAATAACTTGCCTCAATACAGAACTTCTGCTGGCTTTCTAGCTTGCCGGATAGGGCGACAAATTCAAAGGAGGTCAGAATAACATCAAGATGGAAGAGTTTCGCATTCTGTTGCTACAGCAGAAGATAGTTTTTCTTCGAGATCGACTTCTGTTTGGATTACAATACATTTGCATTTAAGATTAATCTCTTTGGGGCTAAATGGTATACTGTGTACTTGTGTATATTTGAAGAGCATGGGGACTGTACTTATAATGACCAAAAAAAAAAAAAAAAAAAAAAAAAAAAAAAACCACAGGAAAAAAACAAAAACCAAAAAAACCAAAAACAATAACAACAAAATCCCGGGCCTCCCGAGTTTGGGCCTAAGCCTTCTTGTGCGTGCGATTGTTTGTCGAAATCATAAGTCTTATTGAAGTGCAATATTAATACATCTTTTAAAGCCTAGATTTGAACGCGGACATTAATACATGTCATATTGTTTAGCTGTTCATTTTTTCCAATGCCTGTTATATTATTATTTTTTGGGGTTATTTAATCATTTTTTTTTAAACTTCGTCCCCTGCGTCTTAAATTTTTCTTATTTATTTCTTCTTGTCTTTTTTCTAATCTTTCAATTTATAGCATATTTTTAAATTAAATTTTAAAATGATTATTAGTTTATTTTCTGTAAGTTTGTTAATTTTATGCACTCGTTTGTTGGATTCTGTCTTAGGTTCAGGGAAAGGTTGAGTATGTTACGAATATGGCTTGTTACAATATTTAAACAAAACAAAACACAATACTTAGTCTTTGTATTTAATATAAATTATAAGTATTAAATTATTATTTACTTAAGAATGTTGACACATTTTTAATGCCTATTGCAATTACATTTTGTAGAAGTCTGGATTTCCACTTACTGTAATTCATTTTTACAGAGAAAAAAATTTGACAAGGCTAGACTTATGAAGAACCTTGAAGACTTCCACGACAAACGAAATAAATAAATAATTTCTCTTCTTCCTATTTCAACTATAATATGGCCTCCCGCAATGAAGTGTTCTATAATATCAAGTAAAGTCCTGTACAATACCAAAAGCTCTTTTTTGTCGTACCAGTTTATAGAAATTTGATAAGTAATTTAGGAAAATGAAAAAAAAAAAAAAAAAAAGAAAAAAAGAGGAACTTGCCAGCAGAAGCTAGAGAAATGACGTAAAGTGTTGCACCAATAATTTAAACTGAAATAAGTTGTTTTTTCCCCTTTTTTTCTTTTCAGATTTTCTTCTTTCTTTGATTATTTGCTTTGATTGTTTGGTTACTTTTTGCCTCTCTGTTTGTTTGTTTGTTTATTTATTTGTTTGTTTGTTTGATTGTTTATTTGTTGGTGTATCTACCTTTGTAATGATATTGTGTTATAAGCTATTTTTTTTACCGTTCTTTTAGTTTGTTTTTTCGGATTTTTTTTCTGTTCAGTTATTTATTGACGAATTTATTATGCTATCACATCATGCATACTTTCTTATTCATTCTTTTAATTGATTATATCATGGTTTATATATTTTGTTATTTGTGTTTTTTCCCCCACAGTGTATAATTCATTCTTTCATTCATTCATTCATTCATTCATTCTTTCTTTCATTCATTCATTCATTCATTTATTCATTCATTCATTCATTCATTCTTTCATCCCTTCATATTCATTCATTCATTCATTCATGATTCATGTATCCCTAAAAGAGGGGTATATATAAGAGATAGCTAGAAGAACGTATCTATACAATATTCCGTGCGATTAGAGGGTGCGACACCTGAAAACCCAACCTTAATCGACCTACCCGAGTTCAGCTGCACTTTTTTTTTACAGTGAGTCAGGGTGATCGTAATCGGGTGGTTGCATTGTGAAATACCCTATTGAATGAAAATATAACCCGTGCGGGGCCCCTAATCTGAACGGTTTGCGCAACTTTGTCCTACATGTTTCCCTCATTGTAGAATCACAGGAACTCTTGTTAAGGCACCTTTTCTGTGTAACTACTCGTGCGTTCGTGCATACATTCTGTGAACCGTCGGATTTTGATCGAAGTAAGAACTTTTGCCATATTTTTGTTTTTCTCAGGGTTTTTTTGTGTTCAAACTGAAATGCTGTCACTGACTTGGTTAAATTAGTTGTGAAATGGTAGAAGTTGTTGTTCATAGCAGTTTTTAACTTTTGGTTTACTTCAGTTGTAAAATTGTACTTACAATTAAATATTACTGTACGCTTAATATCGAATGAAGAATGGTCGTATAATTCAGTTGTTCGGTTGTATTTAACCCCAGTTATCGAGTTATAGTGTACCAGTTCATCATTCTGTTTGCAGAGGTGTAGTTTCCGTTAGCCGTGGAATTGTATTTAATGTCAGTTGCCAAGTTGTAGTTTAATCGGTTCATCAATCATCAATACGCCTTCATCGACACAATTTAAAACTTTTAGAAGGCGGACTTCAGACCCTGCCTGATGGGACCAAGCCGGACTTAGAGAGATACAATATCCCAACAGAAAAATCAAGATTAAACAAAAATTCTCCGTACTCAGGTATCGAACTCGGGTCTCCTGCGTGCGGCAGAGAAGCACCTAACCGCTACACCACAGACGCCGGTACTCCTATCAAATGAATTTGTATTTAAAACACTTAAAAAAAAAGAAACCGAAACAAAACAAAGAAGACATCTATACAGGTTGCTCATCGGGCAAATCGCTTTTCTTCGAAGTCTTTTGCCATTGTTTGTGTCCGCTGTGCACCCGCTGGTGACAGTAAATTTTTCTAAAAGTTTACCGTCCCCTTTAACCGGCGTCCGTTGTGTAGCGGTTAGGTTAGGCACTTTGCCATCATACGTAGAAGATCGAAGCTCGATTTTGCGTGGGGAGAGTTTTTTTAACGAGTATTTTGGTCTTTCTGTTTGAACGTTGTATCTTTCTTTGACTGGGTTGACCTTGACAGACTAGGCACGGTAGATAATTGCCTCCTAAATTATCTTAAGTTTAATTGTGTAGACAAGGGGCGTAAAAACACCGGTATTAAAAAAGAAAGAAACCCCCCCCCCTCGCCAATTGTAGGAGATGTTTTACAACAGTCCCCTAGTAACGTCGCCTTGGAGTTACTGTTGTCTCAATTACGCGCGTGACCAATATGCCCCCCCCCCCCCCCCACGGACCTCGTCCCCCCGTCAAGTAGTTCGATCTGCGATCTGCGATCTGCGGCCCCAGTGTACTGTTGGGATGCCCACGGTGGTTTTCCTTCTTGAGAACCAGGTCATGATCGACTACATTGTGGCGTGTTTTCCCTTGTCTTGTCTAGCTCGCATTGTTTGCACTTCTTTGACACGATCGAATCGTTTGAGGCGGCCGGCTGCTCGCCTCAGTTCTATTTGGGATTCTCGGAAAGGGAGATCATTATCAATGAACGTGCCCTTCCAGGTTTTCACTCTCCCGCTTGGAAATTTCTTTTCGCTATTGGGATTGGCAGTGTGTTATATTTGAAGTATTTCTTTTTGTTTAGGAATTTGGAATGCCTTTAAAGAAGTTCGAGTTGTAAGATGTGGACGTTACGTGATGAATAAAATTGTGGACTCACAAAAGTTCAACTCTAGGCATGGAACAAATATTTCAAACACAGGACTGTTATGTGATTTCTGCAAAAGATGTGTATTCGGCTGTAGGGTCTTCACCTATCTGTCGATGATTTAAACTTGATTTCTGTGAAGTTGTGTCCAAAACTGAAAATGGAAAATTGAAATAGTAAATCGTTGCAAGGAAGGCGATTCTTGTGAAGTGTGTGTGTATGAGTGTGTGTGTAATACACAAAAAAGCGATTGTGGAGCAAAGCGCTTTTACTGGTGTGTGTATGTGTGTGTGTATGTGTGTCTGCGCGTGTTTGATGCTGTTGCCACGCGATGCCTACCGTCATGTGGCTCGTCTCACGCGGAGGGTCCTCTAGTACTCAACATTAATTTCACTATTGCCAGACGAGAAACGCCACAGTAGTTTTGGCTGAGAGAAATAATTGCTCCTTCATTTGAATAAGAATGGTGTCCGGGATCTACAGGAGAATGAAGAGCGAAGACAGTGCCGGACGGCGGGACTAGACCCTCCTGTGGGCATGAGCCCGCAGAGAAGCGCGGTATTTGGCAAGCAATTTTGTTAATTTCTATGTAAAGTTGGGGTCAACCCTAGGAGTCAGATTTATTCAGCGTTTGCCGGAGAGCGGGAGAGGGGAAGCTCAACCTTGCAAAGGCGGCCCCAAAGACGGCAGCGAACACGATCTTTTTTCAAACTGGAGGAATATCGACGGTTGGAGTCTGTTGCTAGCCCCAACAGCTTATGCTGGGAGATTTCCCCTAAACGTCCTCTATAGATCCTCATCGATTGGCTGCGGAGAGTTCTGCTGGGAAAAGGGGGATCACTCTGGGAGAAGAGATCGTTTTCCACTCTTCTTCGAGTCGTACCGTCAAAAGTTCGCAATTTATTTACCAATATCATGATGGAGGAGGAGATTCAGGACGCTGGATTGCTAGTACCTTGGACAGGTCAGTCTTTTTGTGTCCATTGTTTGTCAATATGTATGTTGACGTGTTTTTGCCGAGTAAATTATAGTTTGGCCATTAGCATTAGCCCTTTTGTTTTTGTCAAGATACAATGGGGCTAGAAGTTTGGGTTTTAGAGAGTGCTGTAAAAGGGGAGGGGGGGTGTTAAGCATATGAAGATTCGTGTTATTAGTGTTAAAATTTGACACGGACTATATGGTTCATATTCAAATTACACACGTGGATCGCCGTTTGCTCATTACACAGACAGACGCATGGACACACACATGGACACACTGTCTTGCCCGTATGCATACACACGGGCAACGATCGTGCCTAGGTTACAAAGGAAGTTGAGCGGTGTGTTTAGTTAGATGTGTTACTTTTTTCGTCTTTCTCTCCAACAGTCGCTCCCCCAACTCCCTCCT